TTTCCCTCTGCCAGGGGTCATTTCCTGCAGGAGTGCAGTCCAGTGGAGCTCCAGCAGTAAAGAGCCCAGGGGGCGGGCACATGCAACAAGCCCCACCCCCTGCTCCCAGCAGCCCTCAGTCAGAGCAAGAAGCAGCCAGGTAAGTTGCAGAGCTCCCCCCCGTCCCCTCGGCCCCAAACAGTCCCATGGCACCTTTAATACCAAGTTTTACTCTGGTACAAGCTCTCCCTCCTCTGTGAGGGCAGATCTGCACATCCCCCCCCCAACAGCTAGCAATCCAAAACAGTCCAGTGGAGCCTGAGCGGTGGGTGTTGCCTTTTGACACACTTCTGGTGATGTCAGGGGGTGTGGGATATGCAAATAAGTTATGCTAATGAGTTATGCTAATGGGCTCCTGCACCTCTTTTTCTACAAAATGACCCCTGCTCTGCACCCATTTGTTTCATCTTTGTAAGGCTTGGAATATACATATGTTTTCTATCATGAGTGTGCATGAACAAGTTGAGCTAGGTAAGTGGAATGGCAGCACAAGGTGGGACAGCTCAATCCCACCATGCCTCACTTATTGTACTGGGTATCCATTTACATCCTTAGAGCCAAGCCCTTTTATTGCTTCAAAATAACAGGAATCTCAAGGTTGAGAAAGTAAAAAGCAAAACCCTACCTTGAAAGAATACTCTAGCTTGACAAGGAATGGGAAGTTCACAGCCTGGAGTATGCGCTTTTCATTGAGGGTGTGCTCAATCTGTTTCAGTTTGACAACCTGTGAGACAGGAAGGCAGTCAGCCAGAGATTCACCTCTTCACTCAGCCCCAGCCCCCCCTCCCCCCCAGCATATACTCTGCTCAAGGGCAGGTCTGGACTCACCTTTTGCTTGTCAAGGATCTTCATGGCAAAGTAATTGCCGGTATCCTTGTGCTTCACAAGCATCACCCGCCCAAAGGAGCCTGTACCCAGGGTCTTGAGTCGCTCGAAGTGCTCCAAGGTGGATGTGTTCTGCAAAAGGAAGAAAGGAATCAGAAAGGGGAAGAAAAATCTGCTGAGAGCTTGCCTCCAAAATTTGAGTCTTCTAATGGCCAGGAAGGCTCAAGGTGCAGGACTACTAGTTTCTCCTGAAAGACAGCGCACTCTTCAGAGTGTATCATATGCTCTGCTGCCATGCTGGGGCAGCAATTATTCTCAAAAACGAGCAGCCTTGTGAAACGCCAGCTTCTCTTCCTCAAACATTGCTAGATGTGTTCTTGTGGTTTGAGACAAGGTTATAATTTCACCACCAGAGGGCGCAAGAGACAAAGATGTTAGAGAGGGAGCCATGTACTGCCTGCAGAAAAACCAAACTCTAGCCACAAAAAGGGATGCTTGTTTATATCTAGCTACCAGCATCTTACCACACTGTCTGTAATAAACTAGGAACATGCAACAAGGAATGAATGCAGAGGGCCCGTTCAGATAATGAAGAGCCCAAAATTACACTTATTGCAAAATGCATCTATGGGTAATAGTACCTTTAGGTACAAGATCATGAACAAATCGAAAAGCTACACCACCTACACAATTTACATGGCCTTTCTGTTGCCACATTACCATTGTTTTGGACAGCCACCTTCTGGGATTGAGATGCTAAAATACTGAGCCTGTGAGTGGAGTAGCCAGGCCCATTTTAGAAGTTACAAGGAAGAACAAAAACTGTTCACATGAGTCAGCTAGGGTGACACAGAGGTACTTTTCTCTGCTGATAATATCTAGTATTAGTGTGCTAACATCTAGGCAGGAGTATAAGTGATGAGCTATGGACTTTTCATCCTTCCTTCTAATGCACAGCAAAATCTGCCTGCTGGAGTAATTTGGACAGATCTTTAATATGCACTCCCTCTCCTCCAAAGCATCACTGAAACTGGCAAATTTTTGCAGTTTTTCTTCCCAAAGAGGTCTGCCAGACATTCCTAGAAATCTATGAGCAATGTGGTCCAAATCTGGCTCTCCTGTCGTCAGACATTCTCCTTTTCCAACCTGGATACTTTACTCTCCCACTCCAGCTACAATCTGCAAACCCAAAGTGGCCCCTCTAGAATAAACTGAGGATTGCAACATCTATTTCAAAGCCCTTATTTGCCCAGCAGTGCAGGCTAGCAGAGCCACAGCATCAAGACCTCGCTGCTGTAACTAAAGTGATCCCCCACCCTACCTGGCTGATTATAGTGAGCTTCCATAATAATGTGTGTCTGTGCAGCACCACCAATGAAGCATGCACTTGGGCCATGGATCCCTGATGCTTGCAAATGTTAGGGACTGGCCACTTGATTCAAGTGCAATGCCAGTTAAACAAAACAGGTATGGCTGATTTGGTGAAAAACTCCCAGCACCATTTTAAAATCAGGCCTAAGGATTTAGGGGAACAAGTGACAAGATCTAGATTGCTATGCCCAGATAACAAAAGGAGGATAAAACATGAAGAAGGTAGATACAGTACCTGTGATGGGTTTTCCCATTTCTTGAGGAACTCTTCTTTGGCTTTGGCTAGAAACTCCTTCACTGTAAGCAAACAAAAGTGGAGAAACAGAATTAAGAACAGAGGGATGCTGTAAGCCCTGGGCTGCTAAACAGACTTTAGAGCTTGGTGAAGCTTCACTGGGAGGCAAAATTCCCTTTGAGCCCTACCAACTTATTTCGGGGGACGGGGGGGGGGGGGATGAATGGCCAGGAATGCAGGATTCAGCCACAGCTGAGAAGCCCCAAGGTGCAGCTCAAAGGGAATCTTGCCTCCCAGTGAAGCAATGATGGTGCAACTAGCAGCCACTATTTCCTAGAAAGAAGGTACAAACTCTCCTTTGGACTCAGCCATGGTTACTTGCTGGCCTGTGGGCCATCTCTGGCCCCTGCTGGGTCTGCTCACTAAACTTAATGCAGCTGTTTTTTCTGCTTTTTGTCTGTTCCATCAGTATGTGACTACAGGTCTATGACTTTTTAAATGTATTTCATTGCTCTTTTAATTGATGCTGTAAGCAGACTTGAAGGTATGTTTGTTGTAAAGGTAGGATAGAATTTTTTAAAAATTAAAAATTAGAAGTCGCCCTATTAGACTGTCTGGGGCTTCAGTCCGAGTTTGGAGAATAACATGATCCCAGGAATGCAAATCTAGCCAAGCCCAGTTCTAGACTGTGGCTACTCATCTCTAAGGCTATTAACATATTGCTTATTGTGAGGAGCAGATGAGCTCAGACAACATGCCCAATCCCTACAGACTGCCTACAGCTTCAACTCACAGAGGGATCCCTAGCCACACAAGACAGCAAGTGAACACTAAACCTTCATGGAGGAAGGCAGAGGCTCCATGCTCTCCTTGCCGAATCTAAGGCTTTAAAAACAAAGCCTTTGGAGATGGAGGGTAGATGTTTAAACAGAATTAAAGTATTAGGACTGAGACCAGAGATGTGCACATGGAACATCAGTTGGTCCTTATTTCCTTTGCAAAAAGAACATAAAAATATAAGAAAAGCTGTGCTGGATCAGACCAATGGCCCATCCAGTCCAACACTCTGTGACACACAGTGGCCAAAACCCAGGTGTCATCAGGTCTACCAGTGGGGCCAGAACTCCAGAAGCCCTCCCACTGTGCCCCCCCCCAAGCACCAAGAATACAGAGCATCACTGCCCCAGACATAGTGTTCCATCTATACCTCGTGGCTCATAGCCACAGGTGGCTCTCTGCTCCATATGTTTATCCAATCCCCTCTTGACGCTGTCTATGCTTGTAGCTGTCACCACTTCCTGTGGCAGTGAATTCCATGTGTTAATTACTCTTTGGCTGAAGAAGTATCTCCTTTTATCTGTTCTAGACATACTGCTCATCAATTTCATGGAGTGCCCACAAGTTCTTGTATCATGAGAAAGGGAAAAAAGTACTTCTTTCTCTACCTTCTCTATCCCATGCATAATTTTGTAAGCCTCTATCATATCCAGGGATCTTTTCATAGAAAAAGAGCTGCAGAAGCTCATTAGCATATGGTATGCTAATGAGCCACTGGGCTATTAGCATATGCCATGCCCCCTGACATCACCGGAAGTGATGTCAGAAGGGGAAGCAAAAGGGGGGAGGCATCTTCAAAAGCCTCCCCTTCCCTTCCCCAGCTGGCCTGCGGGGGGGGGAGCGAAGAGAGAAGGGGTTTAAAGTTTAAACCCCTTCTCACTAGAGTTGGGCCACAGAAGGAGGGAAGAGGGAAGGAAAGAGAGAGAGTAGAGAGAAGGATACCTTCTCTATCCCGGGGGTGATCAGAACTGTACACAATATTCCAAATGAGGCCACACATAGATTTATATATGGGTATTATCATACTGGCTAATTTGTTTTCAGTTCCCTTCCTAATAATTCCCAACATAGCACTGGCCTTTTTTATTGCAGTCACACACCGAGACAACATTTTCAGGGAGTTATTTACCATGACTTCAAGATCTCTCTCTTGGTCAGTTACCACCAATTCGGACCCCATCAACATGTATCTATAGTTGGGATTTTAGGCTCCAATGTGCATTACTTTGCACTTGCCCACGTTGAACCTCATTTGCCACGTTGATGCCCACTCGTCCAGCCTCAACAGATCCCTCTGGAGCATCTCACAATCCTCCCTGGTTCTCACCTCCCTGAACTACTTAGTGTCATTTGCCAACTTAGCCACTTCTCTGCTTACTCCCAACTCCAAATCATTAAAAAGAGTAATCCAGAGTTCAAAAAGCAGTTGTAGAATTCGGTAAGATGGTCTTTCAGAGAGAAAGCTATATGTGCTTAATGCCAGCTTTCTCCCTTTAAAACGTTTTCATGTCAAATCCCCCAAATTCTTTCAGCACTTATTTTAACAATCACCATTCAAAAACATCTATCTATATATATATATATAAAAGAAAGTCCCCTCACTGTAAAATAAATGCCCAGGCCAAACCCCTGGACCTAGAAACACAAAATTCGGGGAGAGCACTCCTACCATGGTGTAGATGCTCACTAAAAAGGGATTTTTAGAA